CCCAAAATTACCATTGCTAAATGAAACATTTGTTAAAGTAGTTTTTTTCCTGATTTTACGACCTTTCTTGCCACAGTTATTAAGTGAAACAATTGAAATTGTTAAATTAGTAATGCAGTTATTAAGACTCTGGCTTCCCCATTGACTTTGCTTGTCTGAAGGCCATAAAAGGTGTTGACATGAGCCTGGGACACTGCAACACTCATAAATATTAGTCAGTTGTCCAGCATTTGAATTTTGGTCACCTGACTATTGTTTATGCTGCAATGGTCGTAAATATGAAAAACAGTCATAAGTCACTTTTTTCAGTGCTTGTGTAACTTTGAACAATCACTAAATGAATAACTATATGCCAAGGACTAACCATATAAGAAAGTATGACAGCCCTTAGAGATTCTCAGTCATCTAGGTCATTCATGGTTGTCCCAAAGGTACAGGACGCTTTTCAGGACACTTACTTGTTTTTTTCTTTGAGGATGTTGCACTTCTTATCCAAGAAGCTTCTTTCAGCTCTGACTGGATGGTGGGGAATGGAAGCATTTATATTCCTTGCAGACAGCTTCCATTCTTTTAGAGGGTCATTGAAGCACTTGGAGGTCCTCAGGATCACCTGAGTATCTGGAATCCATCTGAAAATCTGTTCATACTCCCACACAGGAAAATATGACTTAACCCCTAATTTTGCTTGCATGTTTGTCATACAAAACATCTCTCTTTGGATTTCCCGAGTTTCTATTTCCAGTATCAAGCAAGAGTCAGACAGAAGCCTTGGGTTGCTTTCAAACAAGGTATCAAGATCAAACTTCATTTGCTTCTATTGAGTATACAGTAGTAGAGGAATATTTCTTCTCTACTTAAAACCTTATTTCATCTGTCATGCTTGGGACTCCATTGATAAGCTTGTGTACTGTCTGATTATTCCTACTTTGAGTTCTCTTATAGTAGTGAATTTCATTTGTTAATAGTATTTCCTGATTTTAATCCAGATTCAGCTTCTTTGAATGCGTTAAGAGTTTTAATATTATAAGACTTGTAGATCCACTATTATCAGTTTCTTTCTGCATAGTGTAGCTTTAATGAGATTTTAATATATGTGTGAAGAGTTGCATATGCTCTGTATAAGGAGCATAACTAACCTTAACTAGTATGACCAAAATACTTGCATGCAGTACTAGCCTTAAGCAGTATGACCAACACTGTAGCTTTAACTAGCACGACCAACATTCATGCATATTTATAGTCAGAAAATATTCTCTGAAGCCTCTGTGATAGCTTTATAAGAGTTCTCAGAAGAGTTGAGATAGAAAGGGTTCTGTAGTTTGAATAGATACTAAGAAATAAAGGACTAATGTCCTTTATTCTAAGAGAAATCAAACCATTGATGGTCAATGTCAGCTAGTGGCTAGCCAATGTTGGTTTTAGTTGGTCACATTAATAGGCATCCATAAAAATTAGATTTTGCCCACTTCAACTGCATTAAAAATTCCAATCCACAAAATACATTATACTTTAAAGAAAAATTTAATGATGTTTTTAACACTGTGGCAGATTTTAATGGAGAAATTTAAGCATTTTTTTTAATGTGGAAATATTAAAAAGTTTTAAAACAACAGCCGGTAACATAAATGTTGATGATTCTCCTAAGAAATGTTAACAAGTTGAAAGCCAAACTAAAAACACAGTGGTACTTAAAAATCCAAACTCAATTACTGTGCCTCAAGCATTTTTAACCCCACCCCATGCCATAAGTGTAAGCTTGTGCACAGCCATGATCTTCTGATGATAGGTGGTTCTAGCCAAATTGGTGAGGGCTTCTACTTTCTCTACCCCCTTCCTTTTTTGGAGAGGCCTCTTAGGATCTCCACTGCTCTGGTTCACTTCTTTGCTTTCCAGATGTTTTATGATCTGTGAGAAGCTGTGTTTCTTTCATCTAAAATTTTGATGGTATCTATGCCCATTATCATACTATTTGCATTGGTATCAGAAAAAACAAAATCCAGCATCTTACCAGGAGCAAATGAACCATCTTGCTTTTTAACCAGCTTTGTTTCATTTTTATATAATATTGAATCTTGAAAGATCTTGAAAAAGGAGTTCAGTATTTTTTATTATATCAGGTTTTCCCCAATCTGATACCTCCAAGTATCCTGGGCCTCCCTTCCCATAAAGTCTGGTCAGATAAACAGTGCTGGGTTTGGATTAAGGGACGTGAAGTCCAACAGATTCACAACCTAAATGTTATGAGATTGGGAAAGGTTGCTTCTGAGATAAAGTATTTAAATAGTGTAACATATTGATGCAGTGTGATAGACTGGACTCAATCAAGGGCCCCAGAAATGATATAACTTGTAAAAAAAATCTCAATGGAAAATGCAGATTTAAGCAATGCGTAAAAGATCACTTATTTTTCACTTAATCCATGTATGCTATAATAGAATGCAACAATGACCATATCATAAGACAAAATGAACTAAAAGATATTCACAAGTACGATATGCTTTATAAGTGGTTAATACTGAAAGCAGTCTAGCTGAAAGCTTTTGAATGGGAGAGCAGAGTGATGAGGCATAAAGAGGTAATACCGAGTAACCTTATGAATTTACCTTTGTGAGGACAAGTAGTTGTCAACTTAAGACCATAATTGAGCCTTAATTTCATTCACAAGCTATGGCAGTCATAAAGGGGGGAAAACATGACCAGATCTGATTTTATGGACTTTTTTGCATTGATCTTTAAGTGACACTTTATTTGGAAATAAATGCTGGTTCTGGCAAAAAATATAAATTGCAGTCAGCATGACATAGATGGTTCAAATAGCCATAAATGTGAGCTGGGTGTTGAGTGCCCAAAATATAATCCTATGACAGTGGGCAGGTTGAAATAAGGATTTTGAATCTAGGGTGTAAGTAAGTTTTTCAGGGTCTGTTGTAACTTCTAATGTCCCTAAGTAAGCAACTGGTAATTACCTATAGCTACATCTGTTCTGAAGGATTTTGTGAGTAGCATCTGTTTTTAACATCAACATTTTATCAGCCCTCAATTCTGTCCAGATTCCAGATATGCCCCAAAACTGACAATATTCTGATTACCTCTTTTTTCTCAATTATATATAACATTGCCTGCATTAATGTATAAATAATGTTGCCTGCATTAATTCCCTCTCCCAAACCCTTTTGTTTTACTGATCCTGTCTTTGAACAAAAGTTGGCAGCAGAGTCAATGTTCAAAAAATAGTAGCATGCAACATACTTCCATTCCATGTTATTGATAATTTCTTATTTCTATAGTGCATAGTCTGTTCTTAATGATGAGTTACTTGACAAGCATTTGACATTATAATGGACCCCAGAAAAGCTACATATTCCAGTTCCAGAGTTCTGATGACACACACACACACACACACACACATATCCTTCACTTGTGGTCACATGACCACATTTCTAGTGCTGGAAACTGGCTCACCTTTATGGCTGGTTGCAACATTCCATATTCATGTGACCACAATTTACTACATTTTTCCCAGTTTCCAGCTTTTTTAAATTGTTTCTGGCAAAAAGTGCACATAAGAATTGATTCACCTAAAAAGAGTTGTAAAATTGTGTTGATCTTGGGCCTTGACTTATGACTGTCATGACTTACAATAGAATTTATTATAGTTGTGGACTAGTTCATTAAGCTGCTCCCTGTTGGTCTCTGTCCTTGTATATAGCATTTATTAAAACATTTTTCATTTAAATTATGAACTTTTTACTTCTTTGTGTGTTAGGAATCCTCAGAATATATATAATTTTCAAATGGAAATATTTTTTTATTATTTACCCTCAGACTTAAAAAATTCAAAAGCAGAATATATTATGCAAAAATAAGAACATTTTCTCACAGTGCTTTATATATAAGGATTGCAAATATTAGCTGTAATTGAAAAAAGGGGGAAGAGGAAAAGGTACATTTTAATTTGCATTTTATCTGTTAGTAGTGGGTTTTTTCTTAAATATTGAACTTCAGTTACATATGTTTATAGTAAGAGTTTTAATATTACAATATTCCATATTCTTTGGCTGTCTTTAATTTTTTTTTGTAAAATATAAAGATATAGATACTATAATGGATAAATTTGCTGAAAGAGTTCCTAGTACATAGGTGCATAAAGCAGTTGAGTATTGTACATTCTTGCTTTTCTTCCAAGATAAAGCTGGTGTCTACAAGAAACAACATTCCCTATGCTGATGCAGAACAAGATGTTTGTGAAGCTGTCTCTATTAGAATCCTTAGATGATTAGTTTGGAATTGTGAAAAAGATGTAAAAATATTCCACACTTTGTTTATTTGCTGTTTTAGCTGCTACATTGGTACTGGTACAACATTCTGCAATATTACATTATCTACAGTTTATCTACTGCGTAATGATCACACATGTAATGGCATTAATTACATTACTTACAGTCATTTATTCATGTATTAATTCGGCTTTTTTTTAAATTAGGAGCTGGTTTAGCAAGCTATAATTTAAAAATAAGCAATCAAATGGTATAACTCATGGTGTTCATGGTTAATGTATATCCATATATTTGAACTGTAGGAATATTTTATATAAAGGTTTCAATCAGTTAATTAGGCTTTGAAAGATGATTCAATGAGAAAGCAGCATCCCCACAGAAATCCATATGATTCCCACCCTGGTGTTATTCAGAAAGTCACTGAAAACTTGGCTGATCTCCCAGGCCTTGGGCAAGGTGGTAGTTGAGTCTCTGTTTTGCTTTTTATGGAAAGTTTGGCTTCTGGATGTATACTTCCCTCCCTCCCTTCCCTCCTTCCTCCCTTCCTTCTTTCCTTCCTTCTTTTTTAATTTTAAGCCACCCAGAGTTATATCCTTTAAATTATATTAAATAGCATCAAATAAAGTATTATACACCTAGAGTTTCTGAAATTAAGTTCACAGACCTTAAGAATGTTTATCAGCTATGATTTTTGAGTGTCCTTTTTCTATCTTTCTTCCCTAGGTGTTTACGAAATATGGGAAATGCTACATGTTTAACTCAGGCGAAGAGGGGCATCCACTGTTGACCACGTTTAAGGGTGGGACAGGAAATGGACTGGAGATAATGTTGGACATTCAGCAAGATGAGTACTTGCCAATATGGGGTGAAACAGGTGAGAGAAAAACTATTTGTTCTGTTTATCTGTTGCTACATTCTTCATTCATATTTGCTGATCTTTAGTGTTAAAAATAAGTAGAAGTTGAATCCAGCATAATGGAATTGCAGTTCCCATTCTTCCCAGATTCCAGCAAACATAAAATTTCTTTTAAATCAAGCTTGCCTCTTTATGATTTAATGAATTCCATGTAGGATTTTTTTTAATCCCACCTGTATAACTTTATAAGTAACTCAAGTGATGAATATACATAATATTACGTCCTCCTCCTATTTTATCCATAACAAAAACCCTATGAGTTGGGTTGAGCTGAGAGAAAATGACTGGCCCAAAATCACTCAACCTGTTTTCATGCCTAAGTAAGACTAGATTCATAGTCTACCAAGCCACACTCTTAACCACTATACCAAACCTGCTCTCAATAAATGTATTTTTTTGGCAATAGTACAGACATGATTCACCTGTATCCTATTTCAAAAATATTTCCAATTCAGCTATAGCCATGGTACTCCCTAATAACCTGCCATCTAAGTATTAATCAGACCAGACCCCACATAATTTCCAAATTAGACAAGATCAGACTGATGCTACTACCTGCTCAGACAGCCTCCCATTTTTATGCCATTAAAATTACAGTGAGGACATGTAAAGTCTGTTCCTTCTGTTCCCAGCTATGAATATCATACATATCGGGGAAATTCTGAAACAGAACGTATCTCCAGCATTTCATATTTAACAGCTGCTTTACTGCTTTCACAACAAAACCTACTGATAGACATAGAGCCCATTTGAATTTATCACAATTGGTTCCTTAATATATTCCAGGTGTTTGGAAGGTATAAATAAAAAATGGGGAACTGGTACAATCCTGTTTTAAATGTTAGACCCTTTCTCCCATTAAACTGATAGCCAAATTGAAATGCAGTTAGTTATTTCAGTGCAGTTCTCTGAATAAAACATTCATGGAAAAGGTTATATAAATGTGCATGCATTTCTGAAAAAGGACAACGCAGCATTTCATTACATAATTTTATCGCTATTATTGTCACATGAGCCAATCTGAAAATAGACTACAATAACCTTGATAGTAAGAAAATGTAGAATATGAAAACAAACAAACTTGAGAAATTTGTTCTTATTCCTAATTGTTACCATGGTTGGAGTTTGGTAACATTTTGTCTTATATATAGGAAATTCTCAACTTATAACCACAAATGGGACCAGAATTTATATTACTAAATGACGATTATTAAGTGAGTTACTCTTGATTTTATGACCCTTTTTGCCATGGTTGTTAAATGAATCATGAAGTCATTAAATGAGTCCAGCTTCCCCATTGATTTTCTTTTACAGAAGCCAGCTGCAAAGGTAGCAAATGATAATCATATGACCCCAGTATGCTGCAACCATTGAAGTACATTTTGATTGTGCTCAAATTTTGATTATCTGATTGTGAGGATATTACAGTTTTCATAAGTGCAATTACTGCTCACGTCACTTTTTACAGTGCCATTCTAACTTCAAATGATTGCTAAATGAATGGTTGTAAGTTGAGCACCACCTGTAAACAAAAATAGACATGGTTTACTCTGCTATTATTTAGTATATATATTTTTCTTTGAATGATGTACAATTATCCGGGATTGTTTAAGAGGAAAAATTTGAATCCGGTTTTCCCCCACTTTAAATGCAACACTGTCATTTTATACATTGTCAACAATAGAGTTTAGATTTCAAAGCAGAAATCCAAAATTGTTTCATATATATTGACTCTTTCCTCAGTAAAGGTAGTAGTTAGCATTTAAAAGTGATGGTGGGCATGTGTTTACTTTAAGATATCTCTCTGCTCTGCCTTGAGGAGTAACTAGGTTTTAATATTAGCAGTACAAGAATAACAGCAGTGTATAGAGATGACTTCAGCTGTGGATATGATTTAAAAAAATCAGTGCTCCTTTTGTTGCACCAGCAACAACACAGTATCTGAGATTTAAGAAGTAAGTAAGTAAGATCTTTATTACGGTCAAAGACCAGCAATATACATTAGTCTTTACGCTATTTTAAAAATATTTTGCTGAATTTAGTTTTAAGATTATATCTGGAATTGCCATAACTACAAAATCAGACCCTGAGAATGTGGATAAGACTTGGAGGAGAGATATGCAAAGATAGGAAAAAACTTAACAAATAATTTTTGTCACGAGGCTACACAATTTTATCTGACTAAGAATGCTGTCCAAAATGGAATGGCTTAGACTAAGACAAAAATTGAATTACAGTATAATTCACTTATAATTAATTGATTAAATATAGCTAAAATATACTCCAGTCATGTATTTAATCATTTATCATATATTTCAATCATACAGTTCCCTTTTGGGGTAAGCTACAATATGAAAAGCATAGAAGGGGAATAAGAAAAATAAGGCAGAAAAATTAAAAGCCAGAATTCAGTGAAAAGACCTACAGCTAAAATCTAATTAATACCAATCTTATTCCCCAGATCTTATATTTCTCTCTCTACAATCTTAACTTGTTCACACACAAAAAACAGCAAACATCAAAACTGAAACCCAAAATGAAACCCATTCTGGGTTTCAGACAAAACATTTACTGTCCACGTAGCTGATGCAGAAGGCAGCTATGTGTGGACAGTTATGTGAACTCTTTAGTCAGTACACATTATACCTCTGGTCTGTGAACTTCACTGATTACTTCAAGGTGCTGATGATCTACAAAACCCTTCATGTCATGGTACCAGATTATTTGAGGAACTACCATACTCTCCCGATTAAATCTGCCTTATTAGGTCTGGCAGAAGACACACGCTCCGAGTTCTTCCTGTTAGGGAATGTCCACTGGTGGGGCCCAGAAGAGCCTATCATAATGCCTGTCCTTGAAAATTCATTCTCCTGAACCTACCAGCTTTTCCTAAGGCCTGGTTTTACTACTGGAGATTTGAGAATGCGGTAGAACTTCTCCAATTGTTATATTTTGATTGTCGATAGTGGTTTTTTTTAATACTTAAATTACTGGTTTGTTGCATGGATTTTATATGTGCTTGTATATTTTATTTTATATTGTTATTTGTTTTTACATAGTTTTAACTGCTGTATGTGACCCAGGTATTTGAAGTGGTCAGCTATATAAATTAATTGAACAAATAAACAAGTTTCAAAAATGCAGTCATGTATTTTGGCCAACCAAAAACCTATACTGGCTTACACCACATCCCACCAAAGCTAAAACCTTACTGAGAGCCATCCACAAGAGAGGGGGGGAGAGGAGAGAGAGAGAGAGAGAGACAGACAGACAGACAGGCAGGCAGGCAGGCAGGCAGGCAGGCAGGCAGACTTAAGAGCTCCAAATGTGGGAATATTGCTATAGAAGGTTTCCTTGGAAGGAAAAGTTCTCTTTCCCTCAGATCTCAGTGAAGGCCATAATGGAAAGCACTATGTAAGGTTCTAACAATTAATACTTTCATTGTTGTTATCTCCAAAAGAGCAAAACAAATGTGAGTGCTTCCTTAGATGAACAGCTCTAATATCTTTGTATTTTCTGTTTGTGAAGGACTACCAGCACAAAGTAGCAGTCACAACACATATGATCCTAATAAGGAATCCACTCAATCTGTTATTTGTATTTTCATAGGCAGCTTACATTTCACCAATATATATTTTCTGACATGCATTTTATTTAGCTCCTTCATTTGTAAGTAAGCCTACACTTTTACATGATACCTCCAGTATACGCTTTTACTTTGTATTATCAGACCACCTTCATTCTGCTATTATACAATTATACTTTTTCTTACATTTGTCAGCCATGTACTCATTTTTCTTTCTTTTCTTCAATTTATTAACTCATAATCCTTATATTTTTATCCCTCTTACATTCCAAGCAGCAATCTTTCATAAGGCATGATCATTTCCAAATGGATCCAAATCTCTTCGGCTTGCTTACTTTTAATACGATGTCAAAAGGCTACATTGTGCTTGTGCCACATGCAGCATTACCCACTAATGGCAAAGTAGTCCTGGTTAGCTTGGGCATATTTTGGCCAGCATGCCATAAGAACAATCAAAATTCATTGTTGCTCACATTATTCTGTACAAATTGGAATATTTATAGATTACCTTCTAAACCAATATGGTTGCATGCATTTTACTAATGTAAAGGTACTGCTGATTAACAGCCAGTAGTACTATATGCGGATATTTTCCTCTTCCACCAGATTAATGCAGGTTTCAGCAGTAGCAGCATAATAAGACTGTGGGGCAAACATCCAAAGGCTTCTCAGAAATCTCTGTGGAGGTTCTCATTCATCCAAGTCATGGTTGTCCCAAAAGTGGTTTCAAAAGGCAACTGGGCTTTCTTTGTTTTTCCTTGAAGACATTTCACTTCTCATCCAAGAAGCTTCTTCACTTCTGACTGAATAGCGGAGGCCACTTGGAAGTTTATATATGCCCTCAGATTCACTTGAATAGTAAATGGGTGTGGGACTTTCTTGGAACTGCTGAAAGGACTACGTTGTAAATAAAGACAAGTGGACTACCACCAGTGTGCAAATACTACTGTTGGCAATTTGAAATGATATAGTCCAAATATGGGTTTGTCATCTCACTGGGAACTAGATTTTAATTATGAAAAAAACAATACCATGAACACAGATAGCATTCTAATAAGTGTAAACGGTATGAGAGGTCTATTTGGTTATGTACAGCTTCATCTTTGTGAGAAAAAGGAAAATAAGTGAAAGGGTGGCAGTGAAAGTGAAAGTAAGAAGTGAATAATGGCTTCATACCATTAATGAGATTTATTTGATGTTGGATTAAGGATTTGCAAAGTACGGTTTTATGGTTCAATATATTGTAAAACTCCATCCAGTTATAGTTTACTCAACAATCTTTAAGCAAATCATAGCTTAATCATTATATAAACTCAGACAAATTGTATGATATATATTTTTCTCCTTCCTCCTTGTTCAGAAGATGGAAACC